CTTCCTGCTTTGCTGTTTTCTAGGTTGCCTCACTGTCTCCTGTTGGCTCCTCCATCAGCCATGTACCAGTTGCCTGTGTTAAATTTCTTTTGTTTGAAAGATTTAGAGTGTTTCCTGTTTCCCCGGCTAGACCATGATTGACAAATCTTGTCAATACATGGTTTTTATGTCTACCCAACCTTTTCCAAGAGGATGAAGGGAGACTCACAGGAGTGAGGAATCCATGGATTCTTTGTGATCAGGGCATTGTCTCTGCTTCTTTTCTTTCATGCTCTTCGCCAGCTTCCTTGAAGTGTTACTGGTTTCCATTGGGCAACACCAGCCTCAGACTAAGTGCCCCATAGACTCTCAGAATGTGGGTGGGTGGGACACTTCTCCCAAGACTTCTTCCCACAGGCCCATGAAGAACTCAAAAGGGGGTTGGTGAGAATTAATTCAGACCCTTGGAAAGGGTCTGATAAACACTGAGAAACGTGTATTTGATGAGCATTGTCCTTCTCTAGAGCATTTCCACTACCACTGGGGACAATCCCTTAGCCCAGTCGTCTCAACTATGGTGACTTTGCCCCCTAGAAGACATCTGGCAACATCTGGAGGGGTTGATTGTCACAATTCAGGGAGTACTATGGCATCTAGTAGGTAGAGGCCAGGGATGCTGCTAAGCATCCTATGGTGCACAGGGCAGTACTTCCCATGACAATTAATTGTCTAAATGTCAAAGGAGCCAAGGTTGAAAATTCCTGCCTTCAACCAAAGGAATAAACTTGTGATGGTGAACTTCTATGCATCCGGCCAGGTAACTGGATTAGGAGTGGCTGGAAGGGATTTTCTGGGGCATCAATTTAGATTAAAGAGAAAAATTCATGCTATATAAGTGCAGATGAAAGGACCACTTTTCCCCACACTGGGGTGGCCACTGTGGAGAGGCTAATTATCTCTACGTTTTTTTAAAACTAAAGAGTTCCACTTCAATGAATGACACATTTTTACCCTAGAAAGGATACAGGCTGAAATGGAAAAAGCGAATAAAATGTAGGTTAATTAATAGAGCACAAATGAACGGGTTGCCAGAGGAAATTAAGATGTAGTGGGGATGCTTTGTCATATATGTCACTCTCAGTCAAAAATGAACCTTGGGTCTTACCCCAGATGCTAATTCTGGTGTCTTTTGCACAGTGGGTCAGCAAGTAGGGCCACCAAGATGAATACGCCTGGTGCCTGACTTCAGAGAACTCATAATATGACCCATGCATATGTAGATGCACAAATGCACACGCACACACCAGGATAAGAACAGTATGCAGATGGAAGTGCTGCAATTGTGTTTTAAACACGGCTCTGTCTCGAAGTGTGGTGGAGAAAGTGGTTACTTCTATAGTCTCCTGTTCCCCAGAGAGCAAGAGGCAGGAAGACCCTTTGAACTCATAACCCTCATCCCACTACAGACCCTCTTGTTTCACTTCTCTCCCTGTAGCCTGTGCACATTTTATGGCCACACCACAGGGTTAGAGTATGGCTGGTGTTGGGTGGCGGGAGGCAGCCCTAAAAGGAAGGAAGGAAGGACTGGAGCTCTGAGAGAGGCTGGGGTAGCTTCCAAGACAAAGTCTGCAAGACCCCAGGTCCCCACAGAACAAGACTCGGCTTCTCTGGAAGTTAGGGGAGCAGCACTGAACTTGGAGAGCGGAGGCTCAGCTCTGAATCTGGCCCCACTGAAACCCCTGGGTGACTGTGGGCAAGTCGCTTTGCTTCTCTGGGCTTTTCAGTTCCCTCATGTGTGAAGCAAGCAGCTAGTTGCAGAGTCAGCTGGGAAGGGCCTTTGCAACCGTCTGGGCTGCCTTATCCACCCACTCCTGCCATTTTGTTTTTCAGAGAGGTCAAGTGTCATTTTCAAAGTCACATACAGAGTACACACACACACACACACACACACACACACACACACATTATTGATTTCAGAGAGGAAGGCAGAGGGAGAGAGAAACATCAATGATGAGAGAATCATAGATCGGCTGCCTCCTGCACAGCCCCTACTGCGGATTGAGCCCAGAACCTGGGCATGTGCCCTGACTGGGAATTGAACCCGGGACCCTTTAGTCCACATGGCCAATACTCTATCTGCTGAGCCAAACCAGCTAGGACCAGAGTTTAAAGGCAAAAATGAAACTCAGAATATATGAGTGCATGGTAGAGGGGGTCAATGGGGCATCTGTAATACTTTCAACAATAAAGATATGTTTAAAAAATACGTGCAAGTCTATACAGGCACCAAAAAGATAGAAATGGATACATCAATTACATTGGCTCCCCTTGGGCTGAGGGGTGGGAAAGGCATGGGACTAAGAGAAGCTTTCAGAGTTCTGCCCACTTACGTATTACTGGAAAATTGTATTGCCACAAAAAATGTATTTGGGCATTTCTGCACTTTGAAAGATAATATTTAAAATGGAGCTATGACAAAAGTGCAGGTTTCAGATTTCTGTTTTTCTCCCAACAACAAGCTTGCTCTGGCCAGTTCCAGATCCAGGCTGCTGCGGTCTCTGAGCTGCCACCCTGTACCCTGGCAGGCAGCTGCAGGGACACCGCACTCCCCGCTCAGCCCAGACCCGGCCCTTGCAGCTCTCCTCCCAGAGCCCTTGAGATGAAAACTATTTGCTTGTGCTTCCGTAAGCCAGCAGCGGGGTTTCAGGCACCAGGCAGCAGATGGAAAAGGCAGGGGGGTGTCTCTCAGAACCTTTGAGATCAAACAGGCTGGGCGCTGCCATCCCATTTGTAGGCAGGATTGTCCCGAAGTTAAGGACCTGGATCAAGGGAGAATGGAGCTTCTAGGGGTGTCTGGGTCCCCTGGGAAGGTGGGAACAAGGCAGAGAGGTTTTTGCAGGGCCAGGGAGGTAATCCAGGACCAGACTGCTGATGAATCCATGGACTCTGTGTGACTGTGGGAACCTTCCTGGCTTTCAAAACCAGGGCCAGAGTAGCCCGATTCCCCCGGAGCCTGTAGCTGGTCTGTCTAGGGAAGTAAGTGGCAAAAGCCCTAAGTAGACAACCCCAGAGGAGGAGAATTCTGATTCTGTTTTCCCTCGGTTGCTATTTTGTTTTGTGCCCTCATACAGCTGGCTTATCTCTGTGGAGGCTCAGTTTATTCACCTGGAAAATGAAGAAAAAGCCAGCCTTTCCCTTCTCAGCTGGGTGTCCCCAGCAGACATCAAAGGAAAAAAACAGGACTGGGTTTGGCATCTTGGTTGACAGTAGCTCTCGCTTTAAGAGGCCACAAGAGACTGCCCAGACAGAAAGCACCCTGGTTGTATCCTGAGCCTAGAGTTCCCTGCTTCCCTCTTCTTTGCCTGCTAAAGTCCCTGTTGTTCCTTACAACACCCAGCTGAGATGCCACCTTCTCCAGGAAGTCTTCGTGACTCTCTCCAGGCTAGAGTCTCTCCTTCCCTCCCCAGGCTCACTAAGCCCAGGGCTCTTTAAGAAAAAAAAAATTAAAATGGCTGCCTCTTGCATGCCCCCCCACTGGGGATCGAGCCCACAACCAGGAAATGTACCGTCGACCGGAATCAAACCCGGGACCCTTCAGTTCACAGGCTGACGCTCTATCCACTGAGCCAAACCAGCCAGGGCAAACCCAGGGCTTTTATCTCTGCCACTAGAATCCTCCTCTTCCTATATTGCAGGCCTGTCTTCTTCCACCCTGTATCAGTGCCTGTGCTGGGCACGTCAGCGGGATGCCCATGCCTGCTCCTCTGAGGAAGCAAGGAGGAAGGAGAAACCAGTGAGCACACTCGGGGCTGCCTGCTGCGGGTCCACAAGGGGTTGACCCCTCGCTCTCACAAGGGGCCTGGGCTGTGTGGATGGGTATCCTGTGCCTGTTTGGACCCTCTTATTGGGCCTGATTCTCTGACCCTTCCCTCTCTGCTTGGTATTTTACTGTTTGTGCTCTTGCTGGATTACGTTTGGGAAGAGACTTTGGAGGAAAAGCCCCGACAATGAACGTTTCCTTCCTTCCAGGGCTGGTGTAGACTTGGCCATGCCTGCCCTCTTCCTCCCGGACACCCAATGCGACCCACATCCCTCCCTGCCCCCTCAGTGCCTGCTGTCCCTGGGCTCCGGGTCTGTGCCTAAGTGCCCCGGCCTGTCCCCTACCTGCCTCTCAGTGCCCACATTCCTGCAACCCCGTGACCACAACAGGGGACATTACACATTCCTGGTCTGGCAGCCAATGGTGTAAAAAAGAACAGAATGTCCCAGGGCCCCGCCTAGCCCCCAGCTTCACCTGGGCCCCTCCCTGGCCTGGACAAGGTAGGGGGTGATGGTGAGGAGTCAGGAGGGAAGAGGATAAACCAGGAGGGAGAGGCAGAGGGGAGCTTCGTGCTGAGTGCCAGGAGGTACTCCCACTAGAATCCTCTCCACCACCTGGGGGGTGAGGCTGACCTGTGGGTGCCCTTGGAGGGACTCCCCAGGGAGGGGACCTAGCTCCTGGAAGCCCACTTGAGCCTCCCTCCATTGCTCTCCTGCAGGAGAGGGGAGAGTCCCTTTGGGGCTGGCTCCCGCCTTTTCACCTTCCTCTCTCTGCCTCTCCTCCATGCCTCCTCCCAGTCCTTCCTGCACCTGTCTCCCTTTTTCTGCCTTTCCTGCTCTCCTGGTCTCTCCCCCTTAGTCTCACAGTCCTGGCTTGTCCGTTTTCCTCGTTTTTGCCCTCCTAGCTTTGTGTTCGGGATCCTTCTCCCCGGTCAAGATTTCTGACTCTCACTTGCCAGTCTGTTCCTTGCCTGTCAGCTTCCTATCACTCCCCAGGCCGACTCTGCTTCTCTGTCCCTACTCCCAGGTCAGCCCTCGGGAGTCCTCCTCCTCCTGGTTCTCGCGGCTCAGACTCCTCCTCTGACCCTCCCCCGCTCTGCCCTGCTCACCTTTAATTGAGATGCTAATGAGGCTTCTGTTGCTTCCACCCCGGCCGGCAGGCGGGCTCCCAGGCCGGTCTCTGCACCTGTCAGGTGAGGGGGAGGAGAGGCTCTTGGCTGCCAGATTCAGCTAGAAAGGAACCAGTCCCAGTCCAGTCACAACTTGGGAGTGGGGAGCAGGTGGCAGCCAGGACTCCTGGAGACCTGCCATCCTTGGGACCTGGGACGGAGGGAGTCAAGACACAGCGAGTCAGGACACAGACCCGGCAGGAGCAGGACGGGAGACTGGAGGAGAGAACCTGGACTGAGAGGGGAGAGGGGGAGGAAGAGGAAGAGAGGCAGGATCAGAGAGCCTGGCACACAGAGGAGCGGGCGAGGAAGGAGAGAGTTGGGAAAGAAACCCAAGAGAAGGAGAGAGAGGTGGGGGGAGAGGGAGAGAGAGAGAGAGACCAAGAACGGGACTGACTACTAAGCAGAGGCTGATGGCTGAGGAAACGAAAAGGGAGGTTCTGGGACTGAAACCAAAAGGTGACCTTATCAGGGAAGCAGAGGAGAGGCCACTCCAGAGAAACCCAGCTCCAGCTCTGGCCCTGGCTCCAGCAGGTCAGCGGGCTCCTGGGCAGGTGGAGGGAGGGAGGAGTGGGAGGTGGGCATGGCCTGGAGCAGCCTCTCTCTGGGGTCAGGCTGATGATGGGAAGGGCACTTGGAGCCCAGAACTCTGCCCTGACCCTGACCCTGACCCTCCACGACTCACCCAAGGGCTCATGAAGGGAGACAAGTGCGAGGAGCCGGGGCCAGACCCCAAGCCCGCGGCGGCCCCCCTGCAGCCCACGGAGGAGGAGGAGGCCCTGATCGAGTTCCACCGCTCCTACCGAGACCTGTTCCAGTTCTTCTGCAACAACACCACCATCCACGGCGCCATCCGCCTGGTGTGCTCCCAGCACAACCGCATGAAGACAGCCTTCTGGGCCGTGCTCTGGCTCTGCACCTTCGGCATGATGTACTGGCAGTTCGCCCTGCTGTTCGAAGAGTACTTCAGCTACCCTGTCAGCCTCAACATCAACCTCAACTCCGACAAGCTTGTCTTCCCCGCCGTTACCGTCTGCACCCTCAATCCCTACAGGTCAGTTGGGCCCCCCGCCACTTCCTGGTGCCTGCAAGGGTGGCGCAGAGGGTACCGAGGTGCCCACAGGGCAGGCAGACCCTCAGGCCCAGGGGTAGAAGCCAAAACCGCCCCCAGGCAGACTTCCCTTTGGGCAAGATTGGGAGCTCCCCACTTGCTGGGCTGGCAGTTCTTTCCAGTGGAGTTTTCCTAGTGCCCAAGGCTTATTCAAAGTGTGGTTGTTGGACCAACAGTGCCTTCCTCCTGCAAGCAGTAGGGGGCGCTGATGAGGTCAAGATGCTGGTAACTTCCCAAAGGGCAGGGTGGAGGTCATCCCCAGCCTTTCCCTGGAGGGAGAGGAGAGCAAAGAACAGGGCCTCCTCCTCCAGAGAAGAACCTATCTCAGGTGCTATGGCATGGGTGGTGGGAGCTGGCAGGGGTTAGACCCTGCTATGTCTGTCCTGGGTCAGATGGGGAGTTTGTGTCGGAGAAAACAAAATGAGGGATGGCGGCAAAGCAATGGTGAGTCTTGAGATTGGGGGTGGAGAGTTAGGGAGCCAGAAGGAGAATGGGACAAGATAGCTGTTCCCCTGTTCCCTTGTCCAGCTGGTCGCCCAAAGACCCAGGCGGAAACAGGGAGGTGACCCCTGCCCAGGAGCCTGGGTGTGTCCTGAAGTTTTGGGTTTCATCAGTGCTTTTTTTTTTTTTTTAAATATATTTTATTGATTTTTTTACAGAGAGGAAGGGAGAGGGATAGAGAGTTAGAAACATCGATGAGAGAGAAACATCAATCAGCTGCCTCCTGCACACTCCCCACTGGGTATGTGCCTGCAACCAAGGTACATGCCCTTGGCCGGAATCGAACCCGGGACCCTTGAGTCCGCAGGCCGACGCTCTATCCACCGAGCCAAACCAGTTAGGGCTCATCAGTGCTTTTTGCCAACGTTTGGTCTGGAAGCCAGAGGGGGTGGTAAACTGTGGAGAAGAAAGGAGGGTGGGGCTGGTGTTTGTATGTACCTTGTATTTGTGGTCACTCAGCCATGCAGCACGGTGGGAACTCCTGCCGCAAGCCAGACACAGGGCTAGGCACCTGGCAGGTGGGCTTCTTAACAATTCATACAATTTTCATGGAAGGCCAGGTAGTTTGCCGGGTACGGGGAAAGAAAAAATGGAAGCGCTAGGCATATAGACAAATGCCTGCAGCGCACTGTGCTAATTATAATAAAGATTGTGTGAGGTCTAGTCTCTACCTTCAAGGAGTGGAAGATTTATGGGTGCGTGTGTTTGCAATTGTGTGAGTGTGTGTATGTGGGTGAGCAAACACATTGGGTGTGCATGCAATGGAGGATTGGGTTTGGTCACATGTTGGCGGTGAAGGTCCCATATATTCTATTGTACCCAAAGGTGTGTCTTGGGCTAATAAGGGTTAGGACGTCCTGTCCTGCAGGAAAAAAACTGCTGGGCTGTTTTGTAGAGTGTCCAGGGTAAGGGGCCATTTACTACGAAGCTGCTTTATGCACCAGGCACTACTGAGTCCTCTACAGGCCCATCCTTTAATTCTCCCAACAATCCTCCAAGACAGGTACTATTAATACCCCACTGGGCACTTGAGGAAACTGAGGCAAAAAGAGACAACTCACAGGGCCACAGAGATAGTAACTGAGCTGTGACTTACCCTCTGTTTGCCTGATCACAAACCCCTACCTCGTCTCAATACCCAAGATGCGGGATGTAGAATAAGGTGAAGTTTCCTGAGATGTTTACATGTCATTTCCCAGTTCTTTATTATTCCTCCCTCAGCCTCTTTTCTCTTCCCTGGGTGGCCACTGGCTTTGCTCCTCTTCTTCCTGGCCCTCTGTAGCTCTCCTGCCCTAATCCTTCCCCCATTTCCCCACCCCTCATCGCCTTTAGCCTTGGTGGAGAGGAGGGACACTGGACTGCTCTGAGCCAACAGGGAGGGAAGGGCTAGGAAGCAGGAGGGACAACAGGCAGAGTAGTAGGTGCTAAAGAAATATTGCGGTTGAACGATGTAGGTGAGAAATGGAGAGGGCAGGGGTGAATCTGTTGAGGCCTGCATATTTTCTAAGGTTCTGTTGGGTGCAGGCCCTGGACAGTCCAGGAAAAAGCCTCAGAGAATGAAAACCAGAACCTCTGCCTCCATGTGCCTGAAGGCCGGGAAACAGGCACCCATACAGAAAGAATCCCTTGTGCCCGGCCGGTGTGGCTCAGTAGTTGAGCACCGACCTATGAACCAAGAGGTCATGGTTCAATTCCCAGTTAGGGCACATGCCCAGGATGCAGGCTTGATCCCCAGTAGGGGTCGTACTGGAGGCAGCCCATCAGTGATTCTTTTTCATCATTGATGTTTCTATCTCTCTCTCCCTCACCCTTCCTCTGTGAAATCAATTTTAAAAAAACAAAAGAAAAAATCCCCTGTGCATGATGGGCTGGGCTGCTGCAGGGCCTAGTGGAGAGAGCACCCAGGAAGGGAGGGGAGAAATGGGAAGCTCCTCAGTGCAGGGGGAGGTTATTGAATACCTACTATGTGCTCGACCCAATATTGGATGCCTTACAAGCACTACCTCATTTAATCCCAACAAGCCCATGGAGGCAGGCGTTATTATTATTTCCATTTTGCAGAAGAGGAAATGGAGGCGAAACAATTGAGCAAGGTCACACAGCAACTAAAGCAACAACAAGAGCACCAAGAGCTAAAACTTATATAAACTTAATATGTGTCAGACAAATTAAATTCTACATTAATTATTTAATCCTCACCACAGACCTCTGAAGTAGGTACCAGTATTACTCTCATTTTATAGAAGAGGAAACTGAGGTTAAATAACTTGCCCAAGTTAACACAGGAAGCAGGCAGTAAACCTGGGATTAAAAAACAATCCCCCCGCCCCCATCCCCAGAAGCCAGTGCCTCCCCAGTGGTTAGCAGCCGAGTAACAAACCAAATGTGTTTGATTTCAAAGCTCTTTCTCCCATTGCACTTTAAGAAGGGGCCAGGTAGAGGCATCCAGTGTTGGGGGTGGAGGGAGGGAGGGCAGCTGGTGAGAGTCCCTGGGGAACAGCAGCAGTAAGAGGAGGGGGTACTAGTCAGGAGTACAGGAGGGAGGGGTCTAGGGCTGTTGGCTTCTGTTCAAGAAGAGAGGCAGGAGTGGGTGGATAAGTTAATGCAGCCTGGTAGGTAGTGACCCAAGTGTGAATCATGCCGGTGGCAGGTGCAGGAAGCAGAGGTGAGATGAATGACGCCTACAGGGGAAGAAGGGAGGAGGTGGGAATCAGTAGACAAGGTAACCGAATGAGGCAGAATCAGACCAGGAATGCCCACTTAGTGGCAGCTGGGCAGGGCCAGCAGAGAGGGAGGAAGGAGGAGGAGGTGCAGGATTCTCGGCTGCTTCGTAACTTCCAGGAAAGGGGTAAAGGCTAAAGCAAGGATGTTCTAAGAGTCCAATGTAAAGGGTCAGCCACTGTGGTTCCTTTTTTTTCTGGCCAACACAGGAGGTGGTTTTGTTCACCCAAGAGAGAGGGCCAGTCTTCCCATCTATGGAAAACAGAACATAACTTTTCATCCAATTCTTAGAAGGATTTAGGCTTGAGCTATGGAAGGACTTGAGGTTCTTAACAACGAAGGAGGTCATGGACTCTCCGGAGATGGCAGAGCAGAAGGCAGGGCAGCAGGAATGGGGTGAGGAGAGGGGCCGTTCCCCAAAGGGAGAAGCTGCAGGGAGGGAGGGCAGGAATCTGAGCTAGGTCTTCCTGTCCCTATCCCTGGTGGGGAGATCTACACTTTCTGCAGGATCCAGAAGTCAGGGTCTGGGATGGCAGGCCTAGCAGGGACAGAAACCTAGACCCTTAAAGCCGACTCCTCCCACTGTCCCCTCAGTGATGGGCTCAGGAACCTCACTACCTCTGGGAAGCTGCTGTAAGAAAGTTCTTCCTCAGTTAAAGCTGCAGCTGACCTCATGATAGTATCTGCCCTCTGGTTGCTCTTTGAAGCAACCCCAAAGACACTGCCTCCTTCTTTACCCAGCGGTCATCAGCTCTGGTGCCCCTAGGAGAGCAGAAACTGTGTTGCAGCTTGCAAAGTCCACGACTGCTTTCTGATTCTCCTAACGGTTAGGAGAATCTAACCAGCTTGTTAGATAAGGAGGGAAATATCACCTCGAGTCAGATGAGAAAATGGAGCTCTGCGATCACCTAGCTGTTAAGTGGAGGGGTCAGAATTGGAATCTGGTCTGAGGCTCCACTTTTGTTAAGACCAGAGTCACATGATAGATGCCTGGCAGGCAGTGCTCCTGTGTCTCCTTAGCATTTTCTTCTCCAATCATAGTGATAGTAACAGTAATGATAATAAAAACAACAGCAGCAGTTGTATCGTACCTACTCGGCCAGGTGTTTTGAGCTGTACTACTTTTCATATGTTAGCTCATTTCATCCTCATGGCAACTCCATGCAGCAGGTCCTATCAATACTCCCATTGTATAGATGGTGAAACAGAGGCACAGAAGATAAGTAACTTCTCCAAGGCTAACCATCTGACGTGGTAAGGCTTAGTTCCTGTGTCTTTTCCCTGGATGAAATGGTTTCTAGAGCTCTCACTACCCTAGTTGTCTATCCTCTGAATAATTATTGGTTTGTGAGCATCTATTACTCTTAAAATGTCACAGCCAGGGCTGCTTCCACATGTGATCTGAGAGCTCAGAACCAATTCTGGAGGGGAGGACTGTCCCCAGGGGGCTCACAGGTGAGGAGATGCTGTGGTGCTGGCTGGGTTCATATAGGGGCCATGGTGGAGGGAGCATGTCTCCCAACCTGGGAGACAGGTTGGAGGTGCTGAGATGTGGAGGAGAATGGAGCTGGGGAAGTGAAGACTTCAGTGATCCTGGAGGAAGGAGGGCTAGGTCCCCAGAAGCACATGGCAGGGGAGGAAGCTGGTGAGTTTCCGGTGCCCAGTCCTGTCTCGTACTTCCAGAATGCTGACTGAGAGTGCTCAGCGAGGGGCTGCCTGGTGTGTGTGTGTGTGGGATGAGGGTTTGGGCTAATCCCAAGGTTGCCTGTTGAGCATGAGGATCACGTGAGAGAAGATCACCCAGGGGAAAGAGGAAGGGAGGAGGAGACACAGGTAGGAAGAGAACAGGGTATCAGCCCCAAGGCTCCCAGTGTCCCTGACCCTGCCAGTCTGTCCTGGGTGGAGAAGAAGGGCTGGAGGGGAGATGGCCAGCTGCCAGGAAAGATTTTGCTGCCTAGTCTTTTTTTTTTTTTTAAATATATTTTATTGATTTTTTACAGAGAGGAAGGGAGAGGGATAGAGAGTTAGAAACATCGATGAGAGAGAGAAACATCGATCAGCTGCCTCCTGCACACTCCCTACTGGGTATGTGCCTGCAACCAAGGTACATGCCCTTGACCAGAATCGAACCTGGGACCCTTGAGTCCGCAGGCTGATGCTCTATCCACTGAGCCAAACTGGTTAGGGCATGCTGCCTAGTCTTAAGTGTTTCCAAGCCTCAAGGCAGAGTCGTAAAAACAGCTGGGGCCATGGAGTCCAAAAAGGCTGGGTTCATATCTTACTCCCTGTACGTCCTAGCTGAGTGACCTTGGGGGAAGTTGCCTGGTTGATGGGCCTCAGATCCCTCAACTGTAAAATGGAGATAGTAATGCCTGCCTGACCAAATTGTGCAACGGTTCACACACCCCCCTCACCAGTGCAGGGCTGCCAGAGCAGATGAAAATGAGGGTGGTGATCATGACCTGGGTAGAAGGTCAAGGTTAGAAGGGCTGGACTGTCTTGCTGAAGCCCTCTTGTCTGCATTCTACACCCCCTCAGCCCTGGTTACTTCTCACCTGGGTCCTTCTTCTTGCAGGACATGATCTGATGTAATCAGTGGTTTTGCTCAGTGGGCAGTTTTTTAGTGCTAGGTGTTAACTGAAAGGGAGGGAGAGTTTCTTTATTGAAGGGGTGATATGGGAATATTTCTTGCTGCCTCAAGCTAAATACTGTAAGGGGAGAGAAGCAGAGGTTGGGGAGTGATGGCATTCTGTACTGAGCCTGGGGGCCTTGTCACAGGTGGGAGTTGAGGAGCTGGTCAACAAAGGCCTCTTTGGAAGAGGCAGGAGGGAGGTGAATATGAGGAGGGCCACTGAAGGGTGAGCCTGGCATAGGCACAGCATGGGCTCAGTGGAGAAGAGAGATGTGGCTTGAGAAGTGACAGCTTGGAGTTGGTGATGAGAATGAGGGAGGTGCAGGAGGCAGAAGAGGGGCACAGAGGGACTTGAGACAGGTTGGGATGGGGGCCCAGGCAGGGATGTGATGGCTCATGTTGTGAAAATAACTCCAGCTAAGTTGGGGCACCTGGATCCTTGCAATGTGACTACGAGGAAGACATTTGGGCTTCTGGGTCCGATCTGTGTCTTGCTGATATTTGATGGCCTCTTCGCTTTGATGGGCCTCAGATCCCTCAACTGTAAAATGGAGATAGTAATGCCTGCCTGACCAAATTGTGCAACGGTTCACACACCCCCCTCACCAGTGCAGGGCTGCCAGAGCAGATGAAAATGAGGGTGGTGATCATGACCTGGGTAGAAGGTCAAGGTTAGAAGGGCTGGACTGTCTTGCTGAAGCCCTCTTGTCTGCATTCTACACCCCCTCAGCCCTGGTTACTTCTCCCCTGGGTCCTTCTTCTTGCAGGACAAGAAGTCACTGACTGTTTTCTCATTTAACCTCTGAAAGCTTCATATGTAGGCAGATTTAGTGTTAGGCCCACTTTACAGATGAGGAAATAGGTTGGATTCAGAAAGTGTCCTTACCAACATCACACAGTTAGAAAGTGCGACTGGGACACAAGGACCCACATCCAGCCGACTAACTCTGGTGTTCTTTCTGGGGCACCTTTACAACTTCCTGAAATAGCCAGAGCTGGTACGGACACAGTGAAGGGCAGTGTGATGGTTAGAGAGCTTTCTGACCCACTTCCGCATTGTGTGACCTTGAACAAGTCACCCGCCTCAGGTTTTTGATCTGTAAAAAGGAATGGCAATAGTATTAGCTAACAGTGGCTAATAGTATGCTGAATACTCTAAAGATTACATTAAATAATGTACATTCTAATACCACAGTGCCTGGCTCAATAAGTACTAGCTATTACAACTATTCTTTTAATTACCAGTAACAAACAAATCTCTCAGAATATCACACACACACCTTCAACCTGAGCTACATTTTCTCCTATTAGGGGATGAGGTTGCAGTTGGAGCTGACAGAGGTCTTTATATTTCAGGAGGAGTTCTTCCATAGATATTTATCCTCCAAATGTCTGCCTATCCCAAGGTCATGAAGATATACAGTATATATACTATATCCCACGTTCAAAGGCTGTTAAATCGTGTTGTTACCCATATCTTCAGAAAAAAATCACTTCTACTGTCGTGGTAAACAACCTGCTTCCCTATTTATAATGGTCTGGCCCTCTAGCAACTTCAGCGCGAAATTATAGCCAATTTGCCTACAAACGTCAGGTGGTCATAATAATCTGGCCACTCAGTGCCTATCTTTGAGAGTCTTTATGGTTCTGAATCTTATGCTTGGGTCTATGCCTTAATTTTTGTGTATGGACTGAGGTAGAGGTTGAAGATCATTTTTTTCCTCCAGTACAGTATACAAATTGTTCCAGCACCAAATGTTTAAAAAATGTTATTTTACTCCCTCATCTGGTGTGGCTCAGTTGGTTGAGAGTCATCCCATTCACCAAAAGGTCACTGGTTCAATTCCTGGGCAGGGCACATACCTAGGTTTTGGGTTCCTCAGGTCGGTGTGTGTGTATGAGGCAACTCATCTATTGCATTGATGTTTCTCTCTCTCCCTCTCCCTCTCCCCTCCTCTCTCTCTAAAATCAATACACACACACACACACACACATTTTCCCCATTGAATTGGACTGGTGCTTTAGGAAAAAATCAGTTGACCATATATGTGTGAATTAATTTCTGGACTTTATTCTGTTCCATTGATCTACTGTCTGTCCTTACATAAGTACTACACTATTTTGATTATTGTGGTTTTACAGTAAGTCTTAAAGTCAGGAAGAGTAAGTACTCCAACTCTACTCTTCTTTTCTAAAATTGTTTTGGCCTTTCTGAATTCTTTCCATTTTCATATAAGTCTTAGGACCAGCCTGTCAATTTCTTTAAAAAAATGTTTGCTGAAGTTTTTATAGGGATTGTGTTGAATCTAAAGATCTATTTGGGAGACATCTTAACTCCATTGGGTTTCTGATCCATAAACATATATAACTCTCCATTTTTTTTGGTCTTTGCACTCAGCAGGATTTCTAGTGTAGAGGTTGGTCTTGCACATCTTTCATTAAATTTATTTCTAGTATTTGATGTTGTTTATGCTATTTAATATGGTGTTTTTATGATTTCATTTCCCAATTTTTTGTTGCTAGTATGTAGAAATATGATCAATTTTTGTTTATTGATGTTGTATCCTGCAACCTTGTTTAATCTATTACTTCTAGGTGCGTGTCCGTGTGCGTGTGTGTGTTTTGTTTTGGAAGGTTCTATCCCTAAGGCCCTGCTACTCTGTACTTTCATGATAGAGACGGTAAGAGGACCAGTATTAGGAAGAATGTGATTATTTATACTGCACAGTGTTTAACTTAGGGAGTTTGGGCCCCACCCAAAACTCATTAAAATCTAATCCTGGTGGGGAGGGGCAGTTAGTGTGCAGCATGGGTATTTTTTGAAGTTCCTCGGTAGAAGTGCAATTGAGAACCCCTGGTTTAGAAGGTGCGGGGTGGCAGACAGGACCAAAGGCTCCCCCCGCCCCCACGAGGGGATTCGGGTGGGATGAGTGAGGGGCCCAGGTCAAGGCCACCCCCTCTTCTGTCTCGGGGAGGGGTACACAGTTCCGGGTTCCCTTCTAGGCCGCGGCGAGTGGGAGGACAGCGCCTCATCGGCGGGCGCCGCCTGCCTCTCCCTTTCAATAAACAGGACACTGGCCACGATAAATGCCGTCACCGCTGGGGCTCACTGACGCCTCCGCTAATCCCGGCGGACACACCTGTCCACCCCCCTCCTCCCGCCTCACCAGTTTCAGAGGAGGAAACTGAGGCCCAAAGGCCAGGCGAGCTGCCCCCAGCCGACCCTTTCCCCATCGCCCCTCCAGGTACACGCAAATGAAAGGGGATCTGGAGGAGCTGGACCGCATCACGGAGCAGACGCTCTCCGACTTGTACAAATACAACTCCTTCAACACCCTCGGGAGCCACCCCCGCGGCCGCCGCGGCCTCCGGGAGACCCTGCCGCACCCCCTGCAGCTCCTG